CCCCAAAACCCCAAAACCCCAAAACCCCTGGGTTAGCTCAAAATATTGGATATCGATATTATTGGATAGGATTTGAGATTTAGAAGATTGTTCAGGTACAATTTTTGCCTTTACCAGCAACAGGAGCTGGTCTTATGTCTGGTTCATTGTCTTCAGTGGGTAGGATAGGGTCAGTGATGAAGTGTTTGGGCTGGGAGGGAGGTGAGCTAGTACCAACAGCTTCTTGGTGGACTCTGGAAGGTCTTTTATGGGTATTAGGGGTGGTAGAGGATGAAGACTTGGTGATACATTCAGGATCAGTACCGTATTCGTCAGAGATGGAGATAGGAGGCCAATGTTCGGTTAAATTTTCGGCCTCTCCTCCATATTTCTCCTCGATTTGTGAGGGATGGGCGATTTCCAAAATTTCTTCATTAAACACAAAATTTTCTTGATTTGGTGTAAACCCTCCCTTCTTCATAACGATCTTTTCCTTTGTTCTTTTCTCCAAAAATGGGGAGATTATCGCATAAATAGTCCTGATGCCCCAGGTCACGTAAAGTAAGAACATTTTTGCAATTCTGCTCTTCATATGAATCTGTGACTCAATCATGAATTTCTTCAGTGCTTTAACAGGGATTTTGGAAATTGGGAGACCCCCTAAATCCAAGATTTCAACCCAGTTCTCCACTGAGCCCCGCTTCAAGATGTTCTCAATCAAGAAGTGGCACATAAACCATGAGGTATGAAAAACATCATCAGGGTTTATCCCCTTTTCTGCAATAATAATAGCATTCGTAATTAAAAACGGTCTAAAATTTTTGTCCCTTCCGTGGATGTATAAAAACCCTTTATCGAGCAATTGCATGTCTCCTTGTGTGAGTATAAACGGCTTCATTTCTTCTCTCCACTCCAAATGTTGCACAATGTTTTTGTAAGTCTTTTTAACATTGAAGGCGTTTCCATTCAAAAACCTCAGAGCTCTTCTTTTTGTCATTCACTCTGGAATTTCTGTGTCTTTGTCTTCAAAATATTCAAGCAGTTGCTCGTAAGTAGTCTCTTCTTGCTCAGTGTATGGCCCATCAAGAGGATAGATCATCCTTTCTGGATTCTTATTTTCCAGCACCGATCATCAAGAGCTCTTCAGGAGGAGTATAATACTCCATTGTTTCAGGTCTGCTGTATCTCTTGTCAACATAGTAGTATTTATAATCTATGCAGTTAGTTGCTGTATTACAAGTCCTTACCTTCTTTTGCAACTTCTTGCTCCATCTCAGGGGTAATGCAAGTATCTTGAATAGCTATTTGGTCAAAATCATCGATTGACATTTATTATTATTCCTAGCCTAAATTATTATAAGTTACTATCAATCGCAGTCAAATTCTCTGGGGTTTTGGGGTTTTGGGGTTTTGGGGTTTTGGGG